TATATATATATATATATATATATATATATATAATATATATATATATATATATATGACACTACTTATATGAGAGTAAATTGATGGGAAATGGGAAAACCATTGAAAACGATAACGTCATATGCGTTGTGGTGGAGGATAAACATAATTGCTACCTTTTGGTCACTTTCTTCTTTTTCCTGCCGATCCCTATCTGCTCGCTCTTCGGGTGAAAACAGTGAAAACAAGTCATCGTTCCCAACAGAATCGTCGTCAGCTTGATCAAGTGCTTCATAGATGAGGTGTCCAACGGTGCGTAACATATCTGAATCACAATACCAAAACTGGTTAGGATACATGGGTGCAGGAGTATAGACAGATTTGTCAGGCTGTCTTTGCTTCAGTACTAAGTACTCTAAAATAGACTGACCAGATATCTAACATCTTAACTGTACTTTACATGCAACCAATAAATTGTGACAACTGTGATCAAACCTGCGTCTTGCAATTGGACCTCGACACCATCTTACCTGTACTGGTGCGCGTGGTGTTTTGCGTCGTCACTGATTTTCTCCCAAGTACGTCGTTCAGGTTGTCCAGAACAGTGAGGTAGGAAAGCTTTAGATATATGAAGGAAACAACATTTACTATATGAAGAAGAATTTGCTTAACTGGCAAAATTATATTAAGAACTTTCGCTACATTTACTGATAAATATTTCCTAAACACCCCTTTCCATCAAACATCCAACAGACGTATAAGATAATGCTAAAGACTTGATCGAGCTATTCATTTTCAGACAAAAAAACGAACCTGTTCTTCCAATGACTTGTTTCCACAGGCTCTGATGACAGCTTCACATAACTGGGCAAGGACGCCAGCTGCGATTGTGGTCTGCAGACGCTCTGATGCAATCTTCAGTGTATCCAAGGCTTGCTTGCAGGTCTGGTGCGCTGTGCCTGTGGCCACGTTGATGCTTACCGGTTGCATTACCGCAGCAAGTCCTTCTACAAGCACCACAGGATCCGTTGAGGCGATGTCAGTGACATCCACGGCATCAATGGAGGGGATGGCGAGACCCTCGACCATCAGCGGTGGGAAATCCGCACCAAGTCCTTCGGAAGGATCTGAAACAAAACATAAATCATAGCCTGTTTTTTGTCGGGCAGGATAAGGTTTCCTGTATTTGGAAAGCACTCATGTTCTTACACAACAAACTACTTTTCAAACTACGTACATTTTATGTGTCCACAGTATGTTCTTTTTTATATATTTAACTGACATGCATTTGCGGCCAATCAACTCTTAATAAACCAACCGTCATCCTCATTAGCCGAACTGCTGCTGACTTCAGACTCTTGTTCGGGGTCTTCGCTTCCCCACGACTCGTAACTTTCGGTTTCCCGCGCCCGTGGTACAAAGCCTCCAAACCCGTCGTCACTCAGCACCTCCACATCGGTATCACTTTCTGGGTCTGGGTTGGAATATATTAGGAGTTAATATGTATATATATATATATATATATATATATATATATATATATATTTATTTATCTAGACACTCACTGGTGGGTTCTGTAGATGGTATGACTGTAGGTGTAGGTGCTGATGTTTGTTGCTCGGTGGCCGATTCTGGGCGGAGGAAAAATACATTGTCTCAGTTGATGTGTTTATTTTCCTACATTCAGAGTTAGTAGAGAGTCGGAAGACTATTATGGGATTAGTCGAGGTTTGTAACCCGGCAATAATTAAGAAAAATCGTGCATAGTACATAAACAGGAAAACCAACCATGAACGAGGTAATAATCTCAGCTTCTAACCTGTTATCCAGGGAATAAGCACACCGTCGCTAAAACCAGCCGGACCGACTGCATACAGCTTGGCGATATAAGGATGAAGGGGGATCAGCCCTGTCACATCCGTGGTTGTTAGATTGCTGCTCAGGGAAATGTTTACAGCTTCCGATGGAGCAACGGCAGGTATGAGCTCCAGCACGTACGCGACAACCTCGCCACCTGGTGCCGCCCACATCAGGGTAGCCGAACGGTCCCTCACGGTTACCACGTGGAAATCACTTGGGGGGGCCACTGCTGTTCTCGGTAGCGTGTATTGTTGGAGATTAGCGCCGCTACCCTCAAATTCTGCAGTAATGGCTGTTATGGTCACGTTGTATTCGACCCCTGGCAGCAGCCCCCGTAAATGCAATTCCGGGTGATGCACATACAACTGGGCAATTTCCTGGCCGTTCATTGGATGATATGTAACACGATACCCGATCACTAAAGATGACGTGACGTTCCAGGTGAGGTAAAACCCTTCTTCTGTCACTAGCGAGACCGTCAAGTTTTGAACCTCGACGTCGTTTCCTGCAATGTACAAACAACATTTCCTAAAATGCTACAACAATGCCTCCTGTTGGAACGTGCAAAAATTGTTTTCAGCAAAGTACAAACAACGTTTCCTGGAATTCTTTTTCAATTGTGTTTGATTGGCCAATTCTGTACATTTATTTTTCCTACTAGCGTACGTAAGGCTACATGAATGTAACAGGAAACTGAAGACAGAAAATGAGGCAAATGTGACACCATTCACTTCCTTCTGGCCTGCGGAAGACCATTTGGTTGCCAATTTGACCTTCCTGTCAGTCTGCGGTTACACAATTTTCCCCCTCACTTCCTGACATTACGGACACACAAACAGACACACCGAAAACAATCAACACAGAGGCAATAAGGTCTTACCTCCTAACATTATGGTCCGTGAGTAAGATAGGTAGATGTTGCTTCTTGGTGTCATGAGGTATATCTCCAGCAGGTATGAGACTTCACGTTCAACATTGGTGAAGTTGAAAGCAGTCGTGTCCCAAGAAACATTCCAACTCGTTGTAAAACCGTCCCTAAGATTTGTCTGTGCAACGAACACCATGCTACGGAAAACATATGAAAGGGTTGCCAATTGTCAATTGTTGTTGTTTGTGTATTAGCTTTTGGTAGGCTAAACCGTGTTTTCTCGTTGGTCTCGTGTTTTTTTTTTAATTTCGTTAAACTACTTAGTATAGAAGAAAATATTTGGAATGGCTGTTTTTTGTGTGGCTTTTGGCGTTGGTTTCTGACCGCTCGAGAGTGTGCCGCATTTAAATATGGCCAACCTTAATTGGTATAGTCTAGACGTCTAGTGTGGTAAGAAGGAACCTACCTTAATTCACAGGCGTACCCTGATACGTTCCAACGTGCCAACACTGTACCGGGCTCAACTTCTTCTACCAGGATCTCAGTACCCTCTGTTGTTGAGTCTGAAAACGTCATGGCAAATGCTTTCTAATCTATATATACATATTCCCAAATGCAATTCAATCATATTTAAATTCTGCAAAGGAACATTTGGAAATGGACACAGCCTTGGCACGACCAAAAGATCCAAAACAGCCATGCGGATTTACCTTCTCTGACGTCACACGGAGTGGACATCGTCACCAGCTCATTCACCTCGTGTAGCTGCAGTTTCCTCAGTTTGTTCCTGCCATCGGGACAGCTCACCAGTTCCACCACGCCGTCTCTGTTATCAAAGCAAACTTCTCTTCCCAACACCCTCCAGCTCAGCGCGTCATCAATGACGTCAAACAATATGGACTCTCTGATTGGTGAGCAGGTTGTCATGACAACCACGTTGTTGGGAAGAAGTTCAAGACACTGTGACGTTTCTCCGTTCCGAAGAGTTCCTTCTGCGGTGTGCAGCCAATGGTTCCGAGGACGTTGCGTCAAACAAGGTCCAATCTGTGGTACACTTGTGGCGCCGTCCCCATACATACACGAGCACGTCATTCGTGGAGTCCATTCGAAGAGAAAATAAGCTGAAAAAAAGATCAAAGATTTGCGACGGTGAGAGGGGACATATTACTTATATTTGGTGATTGAATTGTATTCATATCCAGTGCATTCCTAACTTAGATAAAAAGCAAAGAAAATGTATGATCGCCATTCATGATCATTTCAATTGTTTATTACGATGAGAGCAGCTTGAAATATGGAAAAATGCTGGTTAAAAGTGACGAGAAATATCAATCTGTTGTTGCACGGTTCAGTTGATTATATTGAATTCCAAGCTCTCAAACCTATTCACGTTCACGGCATTGTTAGTGAAATCGCAACCAAACCTGGCCAAACAAATGAAAATTTGTCATTAAATAATGCATAAAAAATAACTGGAAATATACTAACTTTCAAAATGCCTCTCAAAATATGAGACGCTTGGATCCGTGACCAATCGCTCCACTCCGTCTTTAGGAGCTGCCCATCCGAACATCTCACAGTTTCTTGTACCGGCCTTGTACTGGAAAGACTGGCAGAAAAACGCGGGTTCCTCCAGACACTTGATCGCGCAGTCAGCAAGAGACAAATTATACGCTTCGGCGAGTACCGACATTGGTGAGCTCCTACCGATGTGTTGCCGGAATCTTACGAGTGCAGGTATCAATTGAAAGTCTGTAACATAAATATGTATGTAACTAAGGTGAAAAATTTGTGCATTCCAGAAACAGTCTTGTCTTATGCAGTTTGTGCTTGTTGTGTTAGGTCTAAAGGGTATGACAAAGAAACAAACAGACCTTTGCTGAATTTTTTCCAGAGTAAAGGGACTAACCTTCCGGAAAGGCCGTGATGAATTGTGCCTCAATGAGGCCGCTGGTGGAGGCAGCTGTATACGCGCTGAGGACAGTCATCTTTACGGAGTCTGTCTTGGTCGTGTCGAAGAGGAACTCATCGTAGTAAACTTGCGTCACGTCGTACTGGTCACTTCCCTGACGCTGCCTGAGTTCGACCTGCGGGTCGTACATCCACAACAATAAAAGGCGTGTGAGTTCATCTACATTTATGCATTAACATTTATCTACTGATGTGAGAAGACAATCAGATTGTTGTCCAATATACAGATACGAAACGATCATACAGTCGTCATCATCGGCAGCGCTAGCGGCAATCCTCCTAAATCCTGGACAATATCATGCCAAGGGAAGGGGGAGGGGGGGTCTAAATGTGCAATAATGGTCTTCATTCATTATATTACTGAGAGCTAAGAAAAGGTACTCACGTCTTCATAGGATCCGTCATTGAACGTCAACCTGATTGTCCTGATTTGGCCTGTGTTCCACGTAGACTGTGCGATCTTGGCTCGGTTGATGAAGTAGTATCCATCGAACTTCAGCTGAACCCACGAGCCGATCCCCTGCGAACTCAGCCAGCCGAGCTGCCCCGGCCGTGGCGTCAGCTGACCGTCGATGATGCCGCCACAGGTAGCGGCGTTTTGTGACGCGCCCACACACCGTCCGCCACGGGACAGAGCGGCGACGTTTATTCCTCCGATATTTGCTGTGAAAGAAGCATGTGGTTCGGAGACTACAGTCAATCAGACGAATGTAATCATTTCTAATATCATTTTTAAGATTTATGTTACGATACTCTCAGCTTCTTCCACATGTTGTCAATAAGCTCTCACTCACGATATTGGTGATCTTTTAGGTGCGTATGTCTTCATATAAATGTAAGGAGCTTCAATGTCCTTGGTACATGTATGTCGTTTCCGCATACTTAGAACTTTTACCAACAGGAGTGAAAAAGCTGTGATATAATGTAATGTCTATACAACCATTACCTTCATCGGAGACAGGGTAAACCTCGAGTTCGCTGAACTGCAGAAGTCGCGCCTCTCCCAGACGGATCCCCACATACCGACCCCGCAGGCCTCCACACGAGACGGTTAGTTCTGACTGGTTGACGGCGATGCTGTGGTTCTGCCCGCATTGAGGGTTTGCCGACACGTGCCGATGGTCGCCGATGTGGATGAAGAAGGGGTTGAGGTCGACAGAGCCGGGTTTGACCACAGTCACCCTGTCGATGGACCACTGTCGGTCTAAGTCCACATACCACCAGGGATGCACTTCTGGAGAATAAAATGTGGGACATCGATTTAACAACTCGTGTCACTTTTTCCCTGGCCCAAGAGCTAATTACCATCCAAAATTCGTTACCCTAGCATGTCCAGATCATGAGATATCAAAACCGGAAGTTCTGATGCAGTACCATCAAAAGCCGCCAGGGGGCCCAAAATCATTTCTACGTCTTATCGTGAGCTACCCACCTACCAAGTGTCATGACAATGCATATTAAGCTTCTTGAGTTATGCTGTTCAGAGACAGACAAACAGACGGACAAACGCTACTGAAAACATAACCTTCTTGGCGAAGGTTGAATCTTCAAACTACGTTTGCGCCGCTAGAAAGACTAAATTGCGATTTAGTAAAATTAGTCATTACTAGAAATATCGATTTTAATATAAAGAGGCCAAGGGTGCATACCTTGCAATTGCAGCTGGCAGATAAATCCCCTGACGTACCAACACTCTTTCTCATCCCAGAATGATCCGCCCTCCCAAAACCCCACACAGCCACCGTTACCGGAGTCGGGTTGTGGTTCACCGGGGAGCCAGTTGGCATAGCCGAATGATGTCAGGGTCTGGCCGTCCTCAAATACCCACTGGCCGCCATTGTTGACGTCAGTCAGCCCAAGCCAGCGACCCCCTACTACGTCTGCTAGATTAGCGAGAAAGGTATTGGTGGCACTGTCCTTCGGCATGGCTAAAATCCCCCCGTCTGCTGCACAGGTCTGTCTGGCCTCATCACGCGTCCTCTGCTCCGTGAAGCTCTTGTAGCAACTTCCGTCAAAACTAACGTAGCCTGCTATTGGGCAACCTGTTGAAAAAATAGATTAATAAGACTTCCACGATCTCATACCTTCGCCAAATGATGTTAACCCTTCCACTTAACTTTCAAATACCCTAAGTATGAAATTCCAGGCAGTTACCATTATGGAATTATTTTTTCATTAATTATGCAAAGTAAGTCTTCATATCCATAATCAATATCTGTTTCTTTCGTTCTCAATTACATTTGTCAGAAGCTTGAATAGTCCTATGATGTAATGCAGGAGATTTATAGAATTTCGCCATAAATTGTCTTCATCATTAACTGCCCCTGCAGTTCCAGAGCAAGCAAAGTTTTGACCAAATGATTGCATTTTGGCTTCACCTGGCATACATGGCGTATCTATGCTATAAAACGTGCCGTATTGACCTAAAAACGTAACGTTTTCAACGTGCGTAATTTTTACACGGAAATTGCAAAGCCTTACACGGACGTAAACCGTGGCGTTTTTTAAACGTTTTTTACGTTTTTTTATGCCAAAATTTTGACACGGGAATGATGCCATAAGAGCAAATCCCGTCTATAACTTTAGCCCCAAGCCAGCGATTATAAATCTCAACTGGCTCAGACTTTACAAGTAACACTAGATCTAAATTCTACCACTTAAGTTCCCACACTGAGCACTTAACATGTTGATATCCTATATTAACCCTATGGCCTGCATGGGGGGGGGGGCGACAACGCTCTACGCTGAATTTGGAAATTCACGCTTTACGATAAATTCCAAGTAGCTACAACGCATTACGTAGTATTAAAACGGCTAATACGTTCTACGCAAAATGCGCCAATTACGCTCTCCGTTGAATTAGAGCGGTCCGTCTACGCTCTACGTAGAATTAAAACGGCCGATTACGCTCTACGGAAAAGGGCATGGGGGCCCCATTAAACTACATCAGTGTGAAATCTTTAACCTGGACGCCATCCGATTTGTAAATGGACTCCTTGCACTCGTTGGATTAAAGAAAAAAAAATTCGATCCAGGAATTGGACGAAGCCCAGCCACACATCGGATGTCATCCGCGTCACAAAACGGGGAACAAACAAAACACACCAACCTTGACTAGAAGCGTTCGCTGTTTTGACGCATGCGCCGCCGTTCTCGTCGCAGCTGTTCGTGGTTCTGACGCCGTCAATGCCGTGCCAAGAGAGGCCGGTCTCGTCAAGTGTTGTCGACTGATATGTCCTCTTCTCCAGTGCGATGTTTGTTCCGGCTGAGTTGTAACAACAAATACGTTTATAAACTCAAGGGAGACGGCGGGCGGTATAAACTTCCTGGCACCTCGTGACCAATTGCTCATGACGTCATGTGTCCATAAGTTAACGTGATCCACTTTTTTTTTCATTTGATTTTCTGAGAAGCACAGTCGAAAATTCGTTCGGATATTGTCTGTGTTTGAAACAAAGTAATGTGTTAAATACGCGCAATTTCTATGCTGCCAGTGCGATGACAACTACGCTGGACTTCGATTCGAAGATACAAAACCTCCTGACCTGTTTTGTGGAAACAGCTCGGGTACCCGGGGTACGGATCCCAGCAGCACCCGTGGAGCTCGCACTCGCGAGGCGTGGCGTCATCCCAGGCACATGGCTGCCTAGCAACGAGCGGTGTGGGACATCCCAGCCCTTAACAACAAATTTCAGAACTCCGTTAAGCATTCTTTTTCATGAATCTGTTGAAACAACGTGACGTACTTTAACATAACAGGACAAAGTCTGTACAGGGTTGTTGACTCCATGCCAGATTTTGTAAACTTCAAGTCACTTTCACATATACACAATCACATATATAGTGACAGTAGTCTAAATCCTTCCTACTATAAAAATGCAACATGATGTAACCCAACACCAGTTACCATGGTGAGAGACGGTCTGGTTCATATCATCGACCAGGATGCTACATTAAGCTGGTGTGTTACGCCGAAAGGCGGTTATACCGGCTATACAGATACAGATACAGATATACAGGATGGAGGTCACTTGTTGGAGAAGAACATGAAGAAAAAGAAGAGGAAACTGAGCAAAAACACTATGTTTTCCTTCGGTTAACATAAAAATCACTTACTTTCTGACATGGTCTGCATACAAAACACGCCAAGTAGCCACGAAGTAGGCCGAAGACCCCAACTGATTATTCCGCTGTTTCGATAAGCCGAGTAAGAAATGAGGCGTTCTATGATGTATCTGGCACGCTGGTCGGTTAGCCATGAAAGCCAAGCGTCGGTCATGCCGGCGTGAAACGCAGCGAGAAGCTCGCTGTATGACGCCATCCTGCTGTGGAACGTTGAGCAGTGGTGATGAGCGGCGGGGAAATCCAAGTTGACTTTCCGATCGAACACTCCCATCACAGTACCCGGGTCTGGGATTTGGAACCAAAGACCGGCGAATGAAGTCCATGCAGTGTTCGGGCAAAATATAACACGGGCTAGCTTTATATAAGTTTTCAAAAACACATAAATGCGTGTTCAAAAACATTTCCGAAACGCGTTCCCACAAACGTCTTCTTGCATGCAAAACGTTTAGTGTAAAGAGAAAAAGCTCTGTAACGCACTTAAGAGGGTGCAACCACGATTGGCATGAACCATATTGTGTAACCATAGTAACTACCTTCAGACGACAGTAAGGCATTAGGTCAGTACTCACGCCTCGCAGCGATCAGCGCACTTTCACACCCGAGCACGCCCAGGGTCAGTGTCGGGCGGCCAAACCAGGCAACCGGAATGACTCGCAGGTACCTCGTGGAAATGCGGGGTTGTATAAAGGTCCGGACAGTTGTTCTTGGTTCAGTGTTGGCTTGATACACCTAAAACATAACAAAAAAAACACACACAACGATCTCTCATCGCAGAGAATTATTTGGAGTTTCTCGCTGATCCTGTGAATTATCCACTGTCACATGTGAAAAATGATTCTCATATGTTAGTAATATTCATCAATTTATAATTACACATAATTACTGAAACAATTAGAGTCAAAACCTTTCTAAATGTTGACATCAAAGTTACCTTAACACGTGTACACGGCTCGGAGCTGGCTCCATGGTTGTTGTACACCGCCCCGTCGTCACTTGTCTGAAGACTGTACGCTTTAGTGTAGGAGTTGGTGCTCACGTCGCCCGATGTCTCTATCGCGGCCACGTACATCTCCCGACCGAAATCCAGGTCCATCCAGGGGCGGGCGTCGGCGTAAAACGTGCGGCTGATCTGGGAAATCGTCCCGCAGGCCAACCCTGATTTTGTGAACAGAAAAATCACAACCGATAACTCACCAGTCTCAGAACTTAAGCCCCAAGCATAACTGGAAGAAAATGTCCAAGCAGCAGCCATCCTGTAGCATTCACAATAATTTCAACAACACACCGTCCATTTCACAAATGACGCGGGAGTTCAGGCCACAGTGCTGAGTTGTCCAATTGAACGCTGCAGTTCGGCCCATGATCACACAGGTGTCGCTGCCGAACGCCGCCGTTTTGTCGGTGCCAGGAGACCACCAGGACGACTGCGCAGCCAGAGGAACTTGGTGCCACCAGTTGTACCAGGACTTGGACTGCAGAATGTGCATGGAGGAATGTCCACCAGCAGAAAAAAATGGAATTAGATAGCAACCAAGATGTCAAAGGTCCGTTTTTACTCCGTGAAGGAGGTCAGGACCTCCGGACGGAGTGTTGTGAACAGTCGTTTTTTCGTGTTCACAGCTAGAAATCGGGGTTCCCTTTGTGTAATCGGCATGCAACTTTATACGCCGTCTGCGGGGATACCCGTGATGATGCACGAATGAGTATTTCTGCCGTTGCTGTTTTCGGGGTCAATGTTATATTTCGGATGCACCCCTACAATTATGAGGCAAATTGGAATGGTCTAGAAAACCCGTTGTTTGGAATAGCGGGGGGGGGTCGTTTAAACTTCATGCAGATGTAGGGAGATAGGTAGATATCCCAGTATAAAACTTCATGAAGCACCTGAGAGAACCGCAGTCCGACCCAGTATTTGTCCCCATCTTTGGCCGACGTGATGGCGCCGAGAAACGCCTGTTCAGCTTCGCTGTTGATCTCAACCACGTGAGCTGGTAAAGCAGAAAAAACTGTATTGTAAAAACCTCCTGTTTGGGACCGAAAATAATTGGCAAGACATGAAGATAGGAATAAAGGTCCTCATCAGCAGTGGTTGGCAGTCAAAGTTGATTCAAGTTTGATTCGATTCGTATTGATAGATAGGCGTGGCCTAAATCTGCTCCAATACTGCTCCAAACCTACTGCCAATCTTGTTACCTTTCGTCCGGCATGTAGCGGATCTTGGGTAGCGGACGAAAGCTTACAAGGCTGACACTCAGGCTAGGGTGGTTGTCGTGTGAAGGTTCTGAATGTGTGACAGGGGCTTGATACATGTGCTCTATACACGTTAGCGGTGTTGCTGACATGAGAAGATGTTCTACACTGACCTGCCATGTTATGACAAGCTGAAACCGCTGTTTCGTAGGGAACCTCAGACCTTCCGAAATAGTAGCAGGAGTCTCCCCACACCCGCCATCCATATGGACAGTGCGCTGCAGATTGAAACATTATACACAGTTCAGTATGCCGCTACATTTCTATACAATGATTTAAAATGGATTTTGTGACAACTAATTTTTGTTGAGATTTTAAACCGCTCGTCGTTCAGTGTAATACTGTATAGCCAGCCTGCCGTAGCACCGCGTGTCTGTGAGGCTTGTGTGTAGATGCTGAAGGGATGGTATATATCGACTGTACAGATACACATATGGATACTCTACCTTATTACGACAACTTACAACTTACGGCAACTTTAATACGACAACTTACGCTCCACTCCCTGGGTGCCCCAATTTACCCGAAGATATTGTCCCGCTGCCTGAGATCCAGTGGTAAGATCGAAGAACGCTTCGTGGACGTGAGGTATTCCTCCCTGCAGATTCTGGCTCCAAGCGACGTTGGTATGTCTGCTCACAAAGTACTTCTTGTTTGGACCGGCATGGACCTAACAAGAAGACAAGATATCTGAGATTCCAAACCTCTGGATTTAGTGATGAAGTAGTGATTATCTAGGATTTGTGACTTGCTTTTAATCCTTATTTGTCATGCATAATGCTGATAAGTCTAAGATTTTGAATTACGTATAAGTGTACAGAAACCGCAATTCAGCACTGGTGCTGAAAACGTCTTTTTAATTGAATAAACCATTCTCTCTCTCTCTCTCTCTCT